GTCCTCTGGGAAGTAGCCACTGAGACAGGTAGGAGAGCAAGAGGGGTGTGGGGCTGCTGCCTGAGAAAGATCAGGAGGAGGAAGCAGAATGGGGCAGGAGACCCTCTGAGGAGCCTTGTTTTTTCAGCAGGGAGGTGGGAGCCGTGACTACCCAGAGCCTGCAGGGCAGAAAGGCCAGACCAGCACCCTCCTCCCCAAATCTCTCCATGTGCTCCATCTTGGGGGCGCTGCCACAGGGTGCCTTCAGCCAGCCTCCATCCTTGCAGTGCAGCAGTGATCTCTCCTGAAGGGGCTCTGAGCAGCACCTCATGTGGACACCACAGCCCATCTGTCATGTCCTGGGCACATATAAATGCTTTTGCTCACCTTTAGCTAGCAGCTCCTCCAAGTCCTGGGAATGATCCTCCTGAGAGGATCAGAAGAGGGAGGTTAGCGGCAAACCATAACTCCCGACCAACTGCTGCCGGTCCTGGGGTCAGATGGACCCTCACAGCATCGCCTCCACTGTCCCTTCTTTTTTTTTTTTTTGTGAGGAAGATCAGCCCTGAGCTAACATCCATGCTAATCCTCCTCTTTTTGCTGAGGAAGACTGGCTCTGAGATAACATCTGTTGTCAATCCTCCTCCCTTTTTTTTTCCCCAAAGCCCCAGTAGATAGTTGTATGTTGTGGTTGCACATCCTTCTAGTTGCTGTATGTGGGACGCGGCCTCAGCATGGCCAGACAAGTGGTGCGTTGGTGCGCGCCCGGGATCCAACCCCGGGCCGCCAGTAGCGGAGCGTGCCCACTTAACCGCTAAGCCACAGGGCCGGCCCCTGCTGTCCCTTCTCGATGCCACTCACCCTGAGATCCCTCTGTCTCAGCGGTGCCCCAGACGGATGACTGAGACATTCCTTCCTGCTCAAATGCCAGTCAGGCGGGTAACGCATGCCCACTCATGGTCACCATTTGTGAGAGCACCACATCTGCACAGATGAGCCACCCGACCCCACCCCTGTTAAGAAGGTGGTGGGAAGAACCATCTGGAGCAGGAGTCACGCTGGTCTCTTCCCACGAGGGACTCGGTTCAGGTCTGCCCAGCACTGCAAAGGCCCTGCTGTCCAACTGAGCAGAAGGAAATGACCCCCACAGTCGGGAAGCTGGCCCTGGGGGGGCTCACTGACCTTGACCTACCCTTTCTGGGGTCAGCCTTGAGGGGTCCAGCCCACAGGTGGGGGTTGCCCAGGCCACTCTGCCAGCTAAGGTCACTGATCACTGCACTTCTGCCTCACATCAAGTTCAGAAACTCCACGTGAGTCCTCCCCTCCCCCTTCTGAGAGGCGCAGCCTCAGCCTCACCCCCTCCACTACCTAATTCCAGAATATTTTCCTCACCCTATAAAGGCTCCTCAAGCCTATTAGCAGTCACTTCTTATTCCTCCCCGCTTCCCAACCCCCAGCAATCACTAATCTACTTCCTGTCTCCCTGGATTTACCGACTCTTGACGTTTCTTACATATGGAGTCTACGATATGTGGCCTTTGGTGTCTGCCTTCCTCCACTTAGTACGATGTTTTCAAGGTTCATCCGTGTTGTAGCGCTTGTCAGAACGTCATTTCTCTTTATGGCTGGATGATATTCCATTGCGTGGAGAGACCACATTTGGTTATCCATTCTTCAGTAGCTAGATATTGGGGTTGTTCCCACCCTGTGGCTCTGGTGAATAGTGCTGCAATGAACATGCTCATTCATGGACTTGTCTGGGTCCCTGTTTGCAATTCTTTTGGGTCAGACAAGTTTTGTAGGCTCTCAACCACCTTCCACAGGTTTTCTGTTCCCTTTCACAAGCTCTATGTCTCATTGTCCTTCTGTCTGATAGACCTAGTCCAAAGACCCTGGGAAGCTGGTTCTGTCACAGACTTCTGGGTGCAAGAGTTGCAGGGATTAATTTTTTCTTTATGAGCATCTGAAACAATCAAAGTTATTGACTACAAATGAGAGAAGAAATTCTAGCTAATTTAAGCAGAAATTCAAGGAGATGATCCTGTAGCTCACAGAATTCACGGGCATCTGGGCAATCAGCCTGGACAGTGTGCAGGAAGCAGGGGGCTGTGGCCAGCCAGGGACACCCCTAACCCCACCCTAGGAAGAGGCAAGTCAGTAGGCCACCCTGGGCCTTCAGACACTGGGCTGTGGCCACAGGCATTATTGATTGGGATCCACACTGTGTTAGCTCCCTGATGACACCTTGATTTCAGACATCTGGCCTCTAGAACAATGAGAGAATGTTTCTGTTATTTTAAAGCATCAACATTGTGGTGATTTGTTACAGCAATCCCAAGAAACTAACACACACACACACACACAGGCCACTCTCAGGCCCAGGAGCAGAGCTCTCCACCTCAGGCTGAATCACAACCCTTTGAAACGCCCACATGGAGACTGGAGAACAGCTCCTGCCTGTGGTCCTGCAGGGGCTGGACCAGGTCTCTTCACATAGACACGCCTCCTGCACCTTTTCTGTGCAGACCAGCCCTGCCTCCTTGTCTGGTGGGTAACAGGATGCCTCCTTGAGTGAGCTGAAGTGGTGCTGCTCAAACCACCAATCTCAACAGACCAGTGTTGTTTTTCTCATTCAGGCAGGTTCCCTCTGGAGGCTCTGGGGAGAATCCATTTTCTCACCTTTTCCAGCCTCTAGAAGCCACTGCATCCCTTGGTTCATGGCCTCCTCCTTCAACTTCCAGGCCAGCATCGTCCAGCAGAGTCCTCCTCACATCACATCACTCTGACTCTGCCTCCATCCTCACATCTTCTCTACTCTGACCCTCTTGCCTCCCTCATCCACTTATAAGAATCGTGATTATGCTGGGTCCACCTGGATAATCCAGGGTCGGCTCCCATCTCAAGGTGAGCTGACCGGCCCCCTTAATCCATCTGTACCTCCATATCTCTTTACCATGAAACCTTTGCCATATTCACAGGTTCTGGCCCTTGAATGGATAGGAAGGGCATTTCAGGCAGTGTTAGAGCATCAGTGGGGGTCCATCTCTCTGAGATGAACAGGTCCAAGGGCCTCTGGGTGGGCCAGTGTACACAGAATGCAAATATTCCTTCTTGCTGCACAACAGTCATGGACGGAGTCATTGGCGTGTGAGGAGCCACAAAAGGGGGATACAACAAGATGGCTGACCCTCCTCAGGAGCAGCTGGAAGACATCCCAAAGAAGTGAGCCCTGAGATTTGTGGTGACCACACGGGTGCTGCACCCCAGCAGGGGAGCAGGGCGATTGAGGCTTGAGTGTTCATAGATGGTTCTGTAGCCTGGTAAATGTGGATTCATCCACCCTTTGGAGCAAGAACTGCCTAGCAGTGAGAATGTTCTGGAGCCTCCCCCTTACCATGCACAGACATACACACACGCTTACACGCAGACACATATGCAGCACAATATGCACACACAGAGACACATACACACTTATGTACATGCACACACTCAGACACATGCATCACACACTCAAATAGCGCACATGCACACAGAGACAGATATTCAGCCTTGTGCACATGCACACACTCACACATGAACACATGCATGTACACACACACGGATACATGTGTGCACAAAAGGCATATATACATATTGTGCACCTGCATATACATAGAAATACACGTATGCACAGATACACACATGTGTGCACATGCATAACCAGATGTACATATAGACACACACACAGACACATGCATATGCACACATGCATGCAAACACACGTGTGTACACACACATGCACAGGAGCAAGATGATGCCATTTGCATTTTGGTGGAAAGTTCTGGGAGAAGAATGGGGGAGGAACAAGGGGCAGGGAAAGCAGAGGCCACTCAGGGTGCTTCAGTCAGGGCAGTCATCCCAGTACTCACAAGTCTGGAACAAGGGAAGGGGCAGCAGCAATAGAGGAAGGAGGTCATTAGAGGCATACATGGGGGCTAGCAGCCCAGGTTTTGTGGGTAGCAGACATGAAGGGTACAGAGTCAATGAAGTCTTCCAGGGTCTCACTGGGGGCAGTGATGGGAATATGGAACTCAGGAGCCAGAGTATGTTTAAGGGGATGGAGATCAATTCAGCCTGCAAGGGGCAAGGGGGCTGCAGTGGGAGCTGTGGGCATCCTGGTGGGGGTGTTTAAAGCAGACTGGACATTTTGCTTGGAGTACAAGAGGTCTGAGAGAAAAGGGGAGGTGTGGGGACACCAGCTCCGAGGAAGAAGCTGGTGCCTGGGCTGGGACAGAGCTGGTCCAGCATCCCTGGGGCTGGTGCAGCAAAGGCCACAGGAGTCAGGGGGAGGGTACACACAAGGAAGTCATTGTCTTATCTTGATAGCTCTTAATGCAGAAGTATACTACTTCCCATTCAGATAATATTCTCTATTCCAGATAAACTTTCTCAGAAGAAACCAAACCCAAGAGTAATGATGGCTAATTATGCAAAACTAAGAACATCCATCCACAGGATCCAAACCAAAGGATATAATCACCACCTACAAGGCAGAATCGAGGGGCCTTTGTGAGGGTGAGGGGGTGCAGAATCATGTTTCCAGCTTAGCCAAGAGCCAGAGATTAAATGGATGGCCAGGAGGCAAGGCAAGCAGGGAGCAGAAGTGAGGGACGCCCTCCTTACCACTGGGCTGATTCTGCTCTCTGTGCTCTGAGCCAAAGGGAACCAACACTGTGGAGGTGAGGTGAGAGACTCTGGGAGGGATGGGCATGGGAATGTGTGTATCCCAGGTCAGCCACCTGCTCTGGGTTAGGGTCTCAGTCCTGTTGTTCTGAGCCCCAGTTGGACTTGGGGCAGAGTTTCCTCTCTTGTGTCTTTGATGATGTCTCCCAGGCAAAGCCAGGTGTCTTCTTGCCCAGCAGGGGAGCTCAGTGAGGCTTGGGACAGATTTCCATCTACAATAGGTCCCTGCCAACCCTTTACTCCTGGTGGAATTGTGGGCACGTCAGGTAGCCTTTCTAAGATGTAGTTTCTCAGAGGTCAAAGTTGTGGTTTGGAAGGAACTTGGCATACTTTCAGCCCATCTATAAATGTGAGAAATGTTGTCCTATTATGTGTTTCTGTTTTGCACTAGGGTCAGTATTAAAAATAAACACATTATTACCAAACATATTATCAACTTCAAAAATCCATGGTGTTGTTGGAATAATATTTGAGGTTTGTAAATGTTTAGATGCCACCCAGTTCCCAGTCACTACCCTCCCACAGGGACCATCACATCCTCACCTCCTTGGGACCCCTCTGTGTCTCTTGTTGGTACTGATGTGACCTGGACATCCCTGACACTCAGGCCTGGGCTTCAGGCATCCACAACACCTGGCCTCCCACTGTAGAGTCCAAGGTTCCTGCCCCCTGTCTGCCCACTTGGCTCCCCATGCCCAACTTCCCTCTCTGGGTGCTGGTCAGCTTGCTGGCTTCACTTGTGTCCACCTGGGCCTCAGGACGCAAGTTCCCCCTCTTTGCCTTTTCTCTGTTAAATGCCCATGCCTAGGTCTGCCCCCTCCCCTACCCCTGAAAAGACTGGGCTCATTCAGTCCTGAGATTTATCCTCAGCCTCACAAGGAAAGTCCCCAGAAGACCCAGGAATGAGGCAGCAGCTGGTGCTGGGGAGCAAGATCCTAGTGGCTGGTCATGCCCAAGACATGGGGAATATCATGCATATGTGTGCTTATCATCAGAATGAAACTGCACTTGATTTCAGGGGAAAGGGTTTGACAATGGTACTGGTTAGAGGACCTGGGCCCCTCAATAGTGTCAGGACAAAGGAAGGTCTGGACACACAATCATAATAATTCTATCCCATGTTCCCCAATTATCTAGTAAACGAGTGATGGATGGTTGGTAGATGAATGGATATATGGATGGATAGATCATGGATAGCTGGTGGATGGATAGTGAATGAATGGGTGGGTGGATGGATGGGCAGATGGGTGGAATGATAGAAAGGTGGTGGATAGACGGATGGTGGAAAGTTGCTGGATAAATAGATGATGGATGGATGGTGGATGAATGGAAGGATTTTGGATGAATGCATGGTGGATGTATGGGTGGATGGGTGGATGGTTAGATGGGGGTAGATGGATGGATGGGGAATGGAGGAATGAATGGTGGATGGATGGATTGTGGATGGATGCATGATGGACGGTGAGTAGATGGATGGATGGATAGATAGATGGATGGATACCTATGAGGCTGGGATTGATAAGGCACACATGGACACCTCTAAGGTAATAGAGTCTAAATCCACTTGACCGTCACTGTGAACTCCAGGCACATTTGCTGCATCCTCTCCTCTTACTTGCTCATCCCTTCTCTGCTCTGGATTGGGGGAATGTCCAATTCTGAGAGGGGTATGATACTTTTCTCAATTCTCCTCTCAATGGGCCCATATAGCACCCCTTTCCTTCAGGGTGTTAGGGCTATGGCAACTCCTGTGGAAATCTCACAGGACATTTCTCACCAGTGACAGCTTCCTCAGCTGACCAGATGGGAGGACAGACCCAAGTGTGGGCACACCTTATTGTTTGCCTCCCTTATGGCCATCAACCATCTGAGCTCTTTCCCTATTTCATCAAACTTCACAGCCCATTATCCTTGAGCTGTGGACATCTGCTCAGATATTAGTCATTTTAGAGACATCTGGGCTTAGGCTTTTGATCTTTTTCCATTTTTCTCCTTAAGAGTTCTTAGCATTAAAAAAAGGGGGAGTTAGTACAGGAGGTGATGGAAATGTTTATTAGCTTGATTGTGGTAATCATTTCACAATGTATACATACATCAAATCATCACATTGTACACTTTCAATATATACAATTTTTATTTGTTAAGCATACCTCAATACAGCTGGAAAAAAATTTGTGCTGACTTCAGAAAATGCTTATGAATTAATGTGAATGAGGAAAACAAGAAGCGATAGCACAAATACAGCAAGGGCTAAAAATCCTGGGAGAAAATTTGCCAAAATGTTACCTGTGGATGATACTGGCCTAAAGCAAGACTGACATGAGGGAAGCCATGATGTAACTTAGAGTAACCTCTGACTAGCTCACCCAAGCTGTGTATGTTTTACCTTGCATGTAGCCTGGGAGACAAATAGCTACCCTCTGGGAAATAGTCCTGGCTGACACATGTACCTCTCATTAGTGATAGATGATAACTTTGTTCTTTGGAGTTTCTTAGGAACATGATGACCTTCTCAGAGAACACCTACACTGGCCTCCATCATTGATGACAACTGAAAGACCTGGTGTGGCGTCTCTAGTCACCAATGCCAGGTGGTCAACATTCCTGAGCCCCTCCTTCATAGCCCACTGCCCTATATAACTGCCTCAAGATTATGTGCTTGTTTAAGATGGTCTCTGGGACATGAGTCCGTCATCTTCCGATTTTGCTAGGTAATCAAGTAAATCTCTTTCTTGACCACCAACTCATCCTGTGATTGATTGGCTTCAAGTTTGCAGCAAGCAGAATGAGCCTTCGCTCTGTTTCATGGGAAGGGATTAGCAGTGATTATTACACCTTTCTCGATTTCTCACGTTTTTTAAAGCACATTCACTTCACCAGGAGAAAACCAGCAGCAATTGTGAGTCACAACAAAAGGTGGAGAGATGAGAGGATGCACTCCCAGCCCTACTGGCCCCAGGTGGGCTGGAGGGAGAACAGTGGGTAGTACAGGCAGCCCTGACCCTGCTTGGCCCAGGGTCTCCTTCCCCAGAGCCTTCCAGGTGTCCATCAGGCCCCACCAGTGTGGCTGCAGAGCTCCTGCTGCAGGTGGCCCCCACCAGGGTGAAGCCCAGCTGAGTGGTGGCCTCTGACTGACCAGCAGGACCTGGTTTGTGATCTTGGTCACAGGTGGGTAGGACTGAGGAGGGTTGGTGGCTCAGTTGGAGAAGGGTGGTGGGAGGCTGGACAGGGGCTGGGGCAAAGTAGAGCAGGGGCCTGGGAGGGAGTCCCAGCAAAGGAACCAAGGGTTGGCCAAGTGGCGAGGCTATGTCTGAGAGATGCTGAGGAGCACAGGGGGGTCACTGGGGCTCAGGGAAGCTCCCCAGGGCTGACAGTGACAAGAGTCTCCCTCAAGGTCTCACAAGGCCCCTGACCCTGTGGCCTTCAACCCAGCTCCAAGGCCAAGGGGATCCTTTCTTAGAGAATGTGAAAGGACCAGAGCACTCTGGGGCTCTAAGTGTTTCAAAGTCTTTATTAATATGCTCCAAGTGTAGAGTGCTCATTCCTTCAGGGACCAGCCACCTGTGCTGATTAGGAGCACCTTCTTTATCCCCAGTGACCAAGCGAGGCCAGAGCTAGAGTGTCCTTTCCCAGTCTTCCCAGGGGTTCTCACCTGGGCACCCTGGGTGTGGGTTGGGGGTGGTGACAATTCTTCAGTCTGTGGTATGTTCTGCCCCCTTAAATGACAGTGGTTTCCCCCATTCACTGGAACAGCCCAAAGAGCCTCCACACATTTCCCAAAACCCGGGAGACACGGCGCCGCCCAGGACAGGGTGAGAACCTGGCCAAGCTCAGCAGGTAGAAACTCCAGGAACACTTTTCCTGACCCTGAGTTCCACACCAGGTGTACTTGCTAGCTGAAGGAGGGCATTGGTGACACTTTTTTCACCTCCAATTCCCCATTATGACATGGGGACAATGCTGCCCCCTGGGTGGGGATTCTGTGCCGTTGAATGAGATCAGTGCACGTGGAGCAGGCAGTGCAGCGGTAGTTGTCAAGGTGAGTAGAATCAACACAGGGAGGGCAGATATGGAGACACGACTCACCTGCTCCTCCAACTCTCCTAAGGATAAAATGTGGTAAAATTCATGCCTTCCCACTCATCTAAAATACCAGCGCCCACCTTGAGCCCCTATCCTGTCCTCCCCACAGCCCTGTGAACTCTACTCTGGGCCATTCATGAGACCAGGGAGTTCTGGGACTCAGGACCAAGGCTTTCCTGGAGATTTCTCATCTGGGTGGTGGTTAAGGAGGTCCGCACTCCGTTCTGCTCTGTGTTTGGTCCAGGACACCTCGGGCAGCCCTGAGCTGGACCATCAGTGATCTGAGGCTGTTCTCCTTCACTCTGCTGGGCTGACAAGGGGACCTGCATCTGGCAAGCTGAGCCATCTGCACAGGGGTGGAAATCCCACATCAGCAAAATGCCAGGGCTGCCAGTGCCATTCTCTGCTTCACGCCTCAGGTCTCCTGGGTGCCGCCATCTTGTGTGACCCTTCACCCCGCACCCCAGGAGAAGAGCCCGTGGCCATCTTTCCCACTGGCTGAAGGCAAAGGCACTGAGGGCAGCCAACGGCTCAGGGCAGCCTGAGGAATATGTCATGTTGGGGTTGAGGATCTCTGGGCTCTGGCAGGAGAGGCAGGTGTGCTGGAGGGAAATGGGGCTCCTGGGTCAGGCTGCTGAGTGATAGGGTGAGTTGGTGACGTGGAGCCACCAGCTGGGCTCTGAGTGTATGTATTTGGCTGTGTGCCTCTCCCCGATGAGAAAAGCTCAAATCATCTACACCACCCTCACCCCTCACCCCTTGTCTGCCCCATCCCTGTACACTCCAGAGTGGTGAGAGCTCAAGGAGGGGACAGTGAGGGATGGGAGGAGCCCTGACCACCCCTTCTCCCTCACCCCCAATTAGAAAAATCTGCTCTGGCTCAGCCCTCTTCATGGGCTCCCCTGGCTCCCAAGAAACCCCTTTCTCCCTCAGCCCCGAGTCCTGACCCAGAAGACAGATGGGCAGGGCCAGCTCTGCACCTCCTTCCTCCATGGGTGTCTCCAAAGCCCCCCAGGAGGCACTGCCCATGCCATGGCCATCAGCCAGGGCACACATCCAAACTGGAGAGGCATGTAGACCTCTCTTCCCCAAGATTCATGGGATCCAGAGCTTCCCAAGCACCAGCATTCTCCTCTTTCCACCAACTCCAGGCCACAGGCCCCTAGGGGGAAGGGAAGGAGCTGGGCAACTCAGAGCTGCCCACAGTGACCTCCGCAATCAGGCAGCATGGCTTCAGGGACCAGTGTGGTGTCCAGAAGGAGGTGCATGGTCTGGTAGGGCTTGTCCCCTCTGAGGTGACAGAGGAGGCCATGAAGGTCAGGAGAGAAGGGTCTGGGGAGATAGGAAGGGCCAGGCCCCCACCCCAAGCCAAGGGAAGCATTTGCCTGAAAATCAAAGATGAACCTGTCTGCCCACCACCAGCACCTTCTGGCAGCATTTCCCAGGCCGACTTTTAGGAGTCCCATGTCCAACCTAGGCAACCTTTCTGAGCCTCTGGATCTGGATGTGGGAACAACTAGGGCCTTCCCAGCCCCAGCTAGGAGAGGGGGCCTTGGGGAGCTCCCACATGAAAGCAGAGCTTTCCAGCCCTGTGAATGAGGAATTTTTGATGCCACTCTCTGAGGGAACACTGAGGGGGTAGGAAGAAAATACCCCCAATATATCTGTGCCCACTGTAAGCCAGGGCAGGGAGCAGCCCTGCCACATCCGCTGAGAAATGAAGTTGGTGGTTGGCTTAGTGACTGGAGCCTGGGGGAGGATGATGGAGTCTCCCAGCAGTGGAAAGGCATGAGCTTTGGCCTTTCAGGTTCCTAGATACTGTGCTGAGGGAGGGGCAGGAGCCCTCCATTCACAGAGGCCTCCTGGGAGGGGAGCCAACCAGGGTGGTGGACGGTGGTCGGCCCAGCAGAGGGCAGGCTTGGGAAGAGTGGCGAGGCTGTCCTGAGGGGAGTGGAGCCCTGCTGTAGGAGAGACCTTTTCCTACCTCTCAGAGCTCATTTGGCTCTTTTCTTTCTTTCATTTTCAAATTAGAGGCAGCAAAAGGACAAGCTTAAGTGTCTCTCATCCCCTTTCCAAACCTTCATCTTTGATGTCCACCCCTCCTATGAAGCCTGCTCTCTTGGGAAGGTAAGGACATGAGCTGGTGGCTGAGGCAGCCTCTGTCCTTGAGGCTGGGGGCACCAGGAGTGGCTGGAGTGGAGGTAGAAGCCTGTGGCCTGGCCCCTGGTGTCTGTGGGAAGCCTGGTGGTGAGGGAGTTTGTGGCTCTTGGTTCAAGGAGTGGGGAGGCTGTGAGAGTCAGGAGTGCAGAGTGGGCCCTGCCCTGGGGTCAGGACAGTGTTCTGTGGATGGCCACACGTGTGTTCATACACACACATGTAAGTGTGATCATGTGCTGTGTCATCCACATTAGTGTGTGTGAGCACACGTGTTCAGAGCCCAAATCTGAGCTAAGGAACTGGCTCATGCAATATTCTGAGGCCTCAGTAGCATTCTTACCTGGGGGCCACGTGTGGAGTTGATGGTTGGGGGTGGCAGGCCTTGCATGCAGGACTGCCCCACTGCACTTGACTGTGTGAAACTGCTCTGTGGAGGGGGCACAGGTCTCCCCAGCAGGGGTTTTGCCATGCTCCTCAGAGGACTGGCAGTCCATGCAACCAGCCTGAAGGGGCTAGACCTTCTGAGCCAGCTCTTCAGAATCATCCAGTCCTGAGGACACTGTTCACAGGGAGAGGTTTTGGGTGCTGGTGCCCCCTCATCTACTGGGGCTTGTCCCTGAAGAGGGTCCAGCAAACTTGGAGATGGGCAGAGAGGTGGGATGAAAAACAGGCCAAATTCAGGTCCCAAGTCAGAGGCCAAGCCCAGGGTGTTTTCCTGTCCACTGCCTCAGTTTACCTATTCAGGAAATGGTCCAGAAAGAACTGAGCAGTGCTTGCTCCAAAACTGGGGGCTTGGGGAGGTCTAAAAACAGACAAAGTCTCAAGCCCCCCTCTTGCTCTGTGCCAAAATCATTTCTGTTATCCTGAGATGGGGGTGAGTGGATGCTGGATGCACAGTGGGGCTCTGGGGTCCTCTGCTCTGCCCAGGGCCTCATCTTAGGGGGTCTGGTCCTCACTTGGCATGTCCCAGGTCACCAGCAGTAGCAGTGCACTTACATCTGTCCCAAGATCTGGAGAAGGGAGAACTGGGCAGCCCTACAGCCAGGTGGGGACTTCATGCTTTCTTTCTTTCTTGAAGAAGCACAAAAGCCTCGAGATTCATGTACTGTATGATGGAGAGAAAAAAGTACCTAATGATCCCCAAAACAGATAGTGTATTCTTTAATTTGTGAAGTGTTAATTAAAATGGAGGAAAAAGTGATGCTGGCTGAGGGCTGTCTGATTTTGTGCTGATCTTGGGCCACATCTCATCTCTTTCCTCCATTCCATGGTCGGGGAACATGGCCAGGGGCAGGGAGGAAGGCAGAACAAGCCTTCCAGTCCAATACCCAGTGTCTGAAAGAGGAGGACACGTCCCCCAGAGTGAGAGGGGTTGTATTAGTTACCTGATGCTGTGTAACAAGTTGCCCCAAACTCAATGGATTAAAATGTTTGTTTATGAGTCACAGTTTCTATAGGTTAGGAATTCAGGAGCAGTGTGAGCAGTTGGCTCAGGGTCCCTCAGGAGGCTGTGGTCATCTGAAGTCCTGGCTGGGACTGGAGGATCTACTTCCCAGGGGGTTTATTCGCAGGGCTGGCAAGTTGGGCCCAGCTGTTGGCAGGAAGCCTGTTCCTCTCCACGTGGGTCTCCCCATGGGGCTGCTTGAGTGTCCTCACAGTATGGTGCCTGGCTTCTCCCAGAGCAAAGGATTCAAGGGACAATGTAGAAACCAAAATTTATTTCCCCAGCCTCAGAATTTATGCACCATCGCCTCCATCATACTCTGTCACCATACAGCCCCACTCTGATTTGACACAGGAGGAGAACACACAAAGGTGTGAAACCAAGAGGGCGAGGTCACTGGGGCCATCTTGGAGACTGGTTGCTATGCCCACCGTTCCCCTCAAACCTCTGTCAAAGGTGGCCGTGGGGTCAGGGGGCCTGTGGAGCAGGACAGGGCCTTGCTGGTGGCAGGGGGAGGATCAGGGGCTGGATCCTGGGCCACAGGGCCTCTTCCCCAAGCCTGGAGCCCTGCTGTGGATGTCACACTCTCAGGAAGGGGTCCTTGGTGATAGAAGCCCAGGAGATGATGCCTCCAGACTAGATACCCTCGGGGGCAGGAGGGAGGGCTCCATGCCCAGTGTCCCTCCCACAAGGGCTCTTGCATTTGGCTCCTGCCCTTTTGGCAGGTGGGCACTGGGGCTGCCCAGGCAACAGAGGTCCTGGACCTTGGACTCACTTCACTGTCCCTCTCTGACGTTTTCCATGGAGGGCAGGTGTGAGCAGGGCAAGGCTGAAGACCAGTGCCTGCATTCAGCCCCACCAACCCTCATCCCCACCCACCTCTCCCCTGCCTGCAGGGAAAGTGGCCCTGGAAGTGGAAGGGAGTGACAATGGAGGCTGAAGCTCTCTCATCACCCTGAGACCAAGAAAGTTCTGGCTGCTGTGGAGGCTTTTCCTTTTGGAGTCTACAGATGAAACATTCCCTCAGTACTTCAGATACCCCATTGGAGCCAGGACATCCACCAGGACTCTTGATGGCCCCAAACTCTCAAAACGTTTACAAAGGCCTCCAGAACCTGACTTCCCTTTCTTACCACTCACTCACAGTCACTGTCACTTGGGAAATTCTGTCCCTTGTGCCAGGTGCTGGGGACCCAAATGATCTTGCTGTGGCTCCTGAACCTGAGTCACTCTGGAAGGTGTGAAGACACTGAAAGGAGCTATTCCAAGGATTGCAGTGTTGGGCTAGACCACAGGGGTGTGCTGTGCCCAGGGGTAGGGAATGACCACTGCCAGCAGTAGGGGGCAGGCCAAGAAGCCAGGACATTAGAGTTGAGCTTGGTAAGATAGGGACCCAGCAGAGGGAGGAGCAAGGGCACAGAGGGCCAGAGGGAACCTTGGCTGGAATGGAGAACTACAGTGGAGGGAGGAGTGGATGGGGCTGCTAGGGGATGAGGCTGAAATGCAAAGTGGGTGTTAAGGCCTGCCAGGGGCCTCACACTCCTACAGGCTATAGGGACCTGCTGAGGACTTCCATGCTGGAGAACAAACCTAGCATCTGAATGGTGAGTCTGGGTTATGAACAGGGCTGAAAGGTGGAGGAAAGAGGGACAGCTAGGGCCAGGGTCTAGGCCTCAGTTCTCAGGGGATGAGCTCCTGGCTGAGTCAAGAGTCTTCCCAGTGCAGAGTTGGGGTGGCAGGGATGGTGGCAGATGTAGGGGACCAGTGCATCCCAGGAAACTCTTGAGTGCCTCCCTCACCGCCAGCCCCCCTCCACTCACCACTGCCAAGACCATCCTCCTCCATCCTCGGGAGGCCAGGCAGCCCCAGCGGGCAGGGACCTGGGTGTGACAGGCTGCCACATCCCAGGTGGGGCACATCTGTTGCCTGGTGGTTTCCTCCTCTGATGGGGCTGATGACACCCTTCAGAAAACTTTCAGGAGCCAGGGCTCTTTCCTCTGGAACTTGTCCCCTTGAAAGCATCCTGGCCCAGGTGGCTGGGCCAGCTGGCCGGCCTCCTTTGGATAAAGCAGGTGAGCCAGAGGGTGCTCCTCTCCCTCTGCGTGGCACCTGTGCACTCAAGGAGAGGGCCTCACCCATGCCCTCAACCGTGGATTTCTCCCCAGAGCTGTGGCCTGGGCACTCGGAAGGCCAGGTCTTCCTGACTCCAGAGAAGAGGCTGGGACCTGTCGACCGAAGGGCATGCCCAGTGTGGCCCCCACTCCCTAGGCCTTGGGCCTCCTCGGGCCACACTCACAGCTTTGCCATATGCCTGTTCTGCCCTTCTGACTCCAAAGAGCCTTTCCTCCACCTGGCTGGAGTCAAATAGTGCGGGCGAGGGGTGAGGCCATTGTTTTGTCTTTCCAGGAAGAAATGAGGCCCTGGATGAAACAGCTGGCCTAGGCAGAGCCTTGACCTCGCACCCCAGTCTGCCTTTGGCCAACAGGGCCAGACCACTGCTTCCAAAGAAGGGAAGTGGCCCGTGAGCTGAGCAGAAGTGTTGAGGTGGGGGATGGGAGGGAAACACAGCTGAAGCCAATGGGAACCCAGTGTGCCTTCTTCACCTGCACCAGGCCACCACAAGAGATCACCCAACACCGTCAGTGCTCTGTGAGTGGGACCATAACTGAGGCCCCGAGGCCCCAGAGGCTGTGCATGCACTTTTGGCCTGACGGGTTGAACCCAAGCCTGCAGGGCTCCCAGAGCCCCGAGAGACAGAAGGGCCCATTGGAGAGGTCCAGGAGGTGGGGAGGGCGCACCCACCCTCCTCTCCTCAGGTCCCGGAGATTCCAGATCTCTGAGTCGCTACTGCCACCTTAGCAGCTGCCTCCACCACCGCCACTGCCCGTGCCGTCTCACACCCCATCCCGCTTGCCCCCACCACAGCCTCCCCCACCCAACCCTGGCCCCAGGGCCAGCACCACTGCAGTGTGGGCTGCAGGCCCATGAGGGATGGGAGCCAGGTTCCCTGGTCACCTCCATGGTATCCCATCTGGACCCAGGTGTGTGGGATGCACCTGGGTTCAGTGGGGGTTGGGGGCGGCAAGATAGCGATGGAGGCACGGGTGAGGAAGAACCCAGAGTCCTGCTCCAAGTGAACGGTTGTAGTTGCATTCTGTAGTCTGTTGACCCTAAGATGGGTCCCTCCCTCAGACCTGGCCAGAGGTGGCCCATTCCCAGGTGACACATCCCAGGTGACATATCCAGGGAGGCAGGGTTGAGGAAGGGCCCCAAGTCCTTCTCCAAGTGTTGGTCGTGGCATTCCTCAGCCTGTTGACTTGAAGTGGGACCCTCCCCCAGACCTGGCCAGGGGTGACCTATTACCAGGTGCCACACCAGGGTGGCCCCTGCCTCTCCCAGTGCATCCCAGGGAACTCTTGAATGCGTCCCTCACTGCCAACCCCCCCTCCACTCGCCACTGAAAAGACCATTCTCCTCCTCCGGGAGGCTGGGCAGGCCTGGCAAGGCAGGGACCTGTGTGTAGCATGCCACCACACCCCAGGTCGGGCACATCTGTTGCCCTGTGGCTTCCTGCTCTGATGGGGCCAATGACACCCGTCTGAAAATTTTCAGGACCCTGGGCTCTTTCCTCTGAAACTTGTGCCCCTGACAGTGTCCTGACCCAGGTGGCTGTGCTGGCTGGCCTCCTTTGGACAAAGCACGCGAGCCAGAGCATTTTCCTCTCCCTCTGCGTGGCACCTGTGCTCTCAGAGTGAGGGTCAGGAGACTCCCTGTCTCATGCCCTCAATAGTGACTTTCTCCCAAGTGTCGTTCCCTAGGCAGTTGATAGACCGGTCTTTTCTGACTCCAGAGAAGATGTTGGGACCTGCCCACTGGGGTCTCCACTTCGTAGGCATCCTGCCTCCTGTGGCCACACTCACTCCTTGGGCATGCCTGTCTTGGCCTTTAGACTTGACAAAGGCTTTTCCCACCCTGGAGTCGAAATGTGTGGGTGTGACATGAGGCCATGTGTGTTTTTGGAGTAGAAATGAGGCCTGGGACGAACCAGCTTGTGGTGGCATAGCCTTGATATCCTCCCCAGTCTGCTGTTGGCCTATAGGGCCAAACCACTGCTATGAAAGTACACCAGCAGTGACCTGAGCAGAAGTGTTGAAGGGCAATGTGAGACACAGCTGAAACAAATGTGGAACCAGTGTAGCTTCTCCTGTTCCCAGCCACCGCAATAGAGTACACCCACTTGCTCAGAGCACCATGGGCCCATCACTCAGGCACTGTGAGGGTTGTTGTGAGGCTGGGGGTCCCAGTGGTGGTGCATGGGTCATTGGCCTGATGGGGTTAATCCAAGGCTTAACTACCTCTAAAGGATCACCTTCATATAATACTTTGAGAACTTTATAGTACAGGGAATTCAGACAATTCTCACTCACATTCATTAAAGAATGCTCTGTCTGAACACAGCTTGTAAGTAGCTGTTTAAGAACCTCTTTGTATATGAGACCCCAACTTTTCACTACAGCTGTGACAGAATGTCTGTAACATCCATCCATGAATTACCACTGTGGACAAACACTCTTGCTTCTACCTCATAAGTATCATCTTCATATAACACTTTGAGAACATTGCTGTACGGGACATTCAGACAGACTCTCACTCAAATTCAATAAAGAACGCTCTGTGTAAACCCTACTTGTAAGTAGCTATTTAGGAATATCTTTGCATGTGAGTTGTAATCTTCACTACAGCTGAGCTAAACTACATCTAACACCCATTTATGGAAATAACTGCAGCACAATCCCTCATTCTTCTGGGTCTTAAGGAAAATCTTCCTAAAGCACTTATGAAGCATTGCAGTTCAGTGCCTTCAGAAGGCATCTCACTCACATTCCTTAGAGAATGCTCTTTCTGACCCAGCTTGTAAGTATCTATTTGGGAACTTTTTTTGTATATGAGTTGCAAAAATTACAACAGCTGAGCTAAACTATGTATAACATCCATTCCAGGAAATAACATGATGCATAATCACTCTTTCTGCTTGCTGTTAAGGTTCATTTTCCTAAAGCAGTTTTGGAACATTTCAGTTTAGGGCCTTCAGAAAGAATCTTACGTTTCTTAGAAAAGGCAATTACTGAACCCACCTTGTAAGTAGCTGTTTAGGAACATCTCTGTAATGAATTCCAATCATTACTACAGATGAGCTGAGTTATGTATAACACCCATTCCTGGAAATAACTTCATGCACAATCACTCTTTCTTCTAGCTGTTAATGATCATCATCCTAAGCAGTTGTGAAACATTACAGTTCAGCTTCTTCAGAAAGCATCTCACTCACATTCCTTATGGAGTGGTCCTTCTTAACCTGGCTTGTATGAAGCTGTTTAGGAACATCTTTGTATATGAGTTCAAATAAATTACTACGACTGAGCTAAACTATGTATAACACCCATTTCTGAAAATAACTTTGTGCACAATCTCTCATTCTTCTAGCTGTTAACAGTCACCTTCATAAAACAGTGTTGAAGCATTGTAGTTCAGCACCTTCAGAAAACACCTCAGTCACATTCCTTATGGAATTATCCTTCTTAACCAGGCCTGTAGGTAGCTGTTTAGGACCATCTTTCTATATGAGTTTAAATCATTACAAAAGCCGAGCTAAACTATGTATAACACCCATTCCTGGATATAACTTCATGCACAATATCTTTTTCCTTTGTTGTTAAGGATAACATTCCTAGCAATTTTGATACATTGTAGTTTAGGGTCATCAGAATCTTACTCACATTCGTTAGAGAAGGCACTTTCTGAACCCAGCTTGTAAGTAGCTTTATAGGAGCACCTCTGCATATGAGTTTTAATCTTTGTTACTGCTGAGATAAACTGTGTCTAACATCAATTTCTGGAAATAACTACGTGCACAATCACTCTTGCTTCTAGCTCTTAAATATCATCTTCCTAAAGCATTTTTGGAACATTGCAGTTTAGAGAGTTCAGAAAGCATCTTACTCACATTCTTTACAGAATGCTCTTTCTGAACCCAGCTTTAAGTAGCAGTTTAGGAACATCTTTGAATATTAGTTGTAATCTTTACTACAGCTGGGCTAAACTATGTATAACACCCAGTCCTGGAAATAACTTCATACACAAACCCTCTTGCTTCTAGCTCTTAAGGATCATCATCCTGAAGCAGTTCTGAAACATTGCAGTTCAGAGTCTTCATAAAGCATCTCACTCACATTCCTTATGGGAAGTTCCTTCTTAACCCAGCTTGTAAATAGTTGTTTGGGAACATCTTTGTATGTGAGTTGCATTCATTACTACAGCTGAGCTAAAATATGTATAACACCCATCCTGGAAAGAACATCATGCACGATCACTCTTTCTTCTAGCTGTTAAGAATTATTTTCCTAAAGTAGTTGTGGAACATTGCAATTTATGGCCTTCAGAGAGAATCTTACATTCCTTAGAGAAGGCACATACTGAACAAGGCTTGTAAGTAGCTGTTTAGGAACATCTTTGTAATGATTTCAATCATTAGTACTGCTGAGCTGACCTACGTATAACACCCATTCCTAGAAGTAACCTCATGCACAATCACTCTTAAATGATCATCTTCCTAAAGGAGTTTGGAAACATTGAGTTCAGCGTCTTCAGAAAGCATCTCACTCACATTTCTTATTGGAACTGTCATTCTTAACCCTGCTTGTAAGAAGCTGTGTAGGAACATCTTTGTATATGAGTTGAAATCATTACAACAGCTGAGCTAAACCATGTATAACACCCATTTCTGGAAATAACTTCATGGAGAATCACTCTTGCTTCTAGCTCTTAAGAATCATCTTTCTTTTTTTTTTTTATATCTTTTTTTTTTTTTTTTGTGAGGAAGATCAGCCCTGAGCTAACATCCATGCCAATCCTCCTCTTTTTGCTGAGGAAGACCAGCCCTGAGCTAACATCTATTGCCAATCCTCCTCCTTCCCCCCCCTTTTCTCCCCAAAGCCCCAGTAGATAGTTGTATGTCATAGTTGCACAACCTTCTAGTTGTTGTATGTGGGACATGGCCTCAGCATGGCCAGAGAAGCAGTGCATTGGTGCACGCCTGGGATCTGAACCTGGGCCACCAGAAGCAGAGCATGTGCACTTAATCACTAAGCCATGGGGCCTGCCCCTAAGAATCATCTTTCTGAAGCAGTTTTGATACATTGCAGTTGAGTTCCTTCAGAAAGAGTCTTAAAGAAGTCTCCTTAAAGAAGTCACTTTCTAAACTCAGATTTTAAGTAGCAGTGTAGGAATAACTTTATATATGAGTTTCAATCTTTACTACAGGTGAGCTAAACTATGAATAACATCCATTCCAGGAAATACCTTTGAGCACAATCACTATTTCTTCTACCCATTAAGGATCAACTTCCTAAAGCAATTTTGAAACATTGCAGTTCAACACCTTCAGAGAGAATCTCACTCACATTGCTTACAGAAGGCTCTTACTGAACCCATCATGTAAGTAGCTGTTTAGGAACATCTTTGCATATGAGTTCAAATCGTTGCTGCAGCTGAGCTAAACTGAGCATAACACCCATTCCAGGAAATGACATTGTGTACAATAACACTTCTCTATAGCTTTTAAGGATCATCTTCTTAAAGCAAGTTTGAACCAATGCAATTCAGCACTTACAGAAAGCATTTCACTCATATTCCTTAGATAAAGTTTTTTTCTAAAAATGGCTTTTAAGTGGTTGTTTAGAAACATCTTTCTATATGAGTTAAAATCATTGCAAAAGTGGTCCTAAACTATATATAAAACCCATTCTTATAAATAACTTCTTGCACAATCACTCTTTCCACGAGCTGTTAGGAATCATATTCCTATAGAAATTTTGAAACTTTGCAGTTCAGTGTCTTCAGAAAGCATCTCAGTCACATACCTCGTGGAAAGTTCCTTCTTAACCAAGATTCTAAGTAGCTGTTTAGGACCATCTTTGTACATATGTTGCAATCATTACCACAGCTGAGGCAAATTATGTATAGCACCCATTCCTGGAAATAACTTCATGCCCAAACTCTCTTCCTTCCAGCTAGTAACGATTACATTCCTAAAGCAAGTTTGGAAAAGAATAGTATTTTGGGCCTTAAGAAAGAATCTTACATTCCTCAGAGAAAAGACTGCCTGATCCCTTAAGTAGATGTCTAGGAACGTGTGTGTATATGAGTGACAATCATTACTACAGCTGAGCTTAAATATGTATAACACCCATTCCTGGAAAGAACATGCCCAATCTCTCTTCCTTCCAGCTTGTAAGAATGACCTTCCTAAACCAGGTTTGGGACATAATGCCATTTTGGGCTTTGAGAAGGAATCTAACATTCCTGTGAGAAGGCACTTTCTGATCCTGGGTTCAAAGTAGATGTCTAGGAACAAGTGTGTATACGAGTGGCAATCATTACTACAGATGAGCTAAACTATGTATAACACCCATTCCTGACAATAACTTTGTGCCCAATCTCTCTTCTTTCCAACTTTAAAAGATTTTCTTCCTAAACAAGGTTTGGGTCATATTGCCTTGTCAGGCCTTGAAAAGGAAGCTCACATTCCTTTGAGAAGGCACTCTGTCATCCTGGCCTGTATGTAGATGTCTAGTAACAAGTTTGGATATGAGTGGCAATCCTTACCAGAGCTTGGCTAAAGTATGTAAAACACCCATTGTTGGAAATAACTTCGTGCTCAATCTCTCTACCTTCCAGCTAGTACGGATCACCTTCTTAAACCAGGTTTAGAACGTATTGCAATTTTGGGCCTTGAGAAGGAATCTCAAATTCCTTTGAGAAGGCAATTTCTGATCCCAGTGTGTAAGTAGATGTCTAGGAACAAGTTTGTCTGTGGATGACAATCATCACTACAGCTGAGCTAAACTATGTATAACACCTATTCCTGGAAATAACTTCGTGCCCAATCTCTCTTCTTTCCAGCTCATAAGGATCACCCTCCTAAACCACATTTTGAACATATTGCCATTTCGAGCCTTAGGAAGGAATATTACATTCCTTTGGGAAGACATTTTCTGATTGTGGTTTCTAAGTAGATTTCTAGGAACAAGATTGTATACAAGAGGCAATCATTAATAGAGCTGAGCTCAACTATGTTAAACACAAATTCTTGGAAATAAATTTGTGCTCAGTGTCTCTTCCTTCCAGCTTGTAAGGATCTCAAACATAAACCAGGTTTGAAACCTAATGTCATTTCGGGCCTTGAGAATGAATCGCACATTCCTTTGAGAAGGCACTTTCTGATGCCAGCTTGTAAGTAAATGTCTAGGAAGGAGTTTGTATATGAGTGGCAATCATTACTACAGCTGACCTAAACTATGAATAACAGCCATTCCTGGAAATAACTTCACGGCCTTTTAGCTAGTAAGAAGCACAAACCAAAAGTAGGTTTGGAACATATTGCCATTTTGGGCCTTGAGAAGGAATCTCACATTCCTTTGAGAAGGTACTTTTGATCCTGGCCTGTATGTAAATGTCTAGGAACAACTTTGTATATGGGAGGCAATTACTACTACAGCTGTGCTAAACTACGTATATCACCCATTCCTGGAAATAACTTCGTGCCTATTCTCTCTTCCTTTCATCTTGTAAGGATCACAAACCTAAACCAGGTTTGGAACTTAGGGCCATTTTGGGCCTTTAGAATGAATCTCACATTCCTTTGGGAAGGCACTTTCTTTCCCGGCATGTAAGTAAATGTCTAGGAACAAGTTTGTATATGATTGCAAATATCACTGAACCTGAGGTCAACTATGTATCACACCCATTCCTCGAAATAACTTCTTGCCAGTTCTCTCTTCCTTCCAGCTCGTAAGGACCACCTTCCTCAACCAGGTTTGGAGCATAATGCCGTTTTGGGCCTTGAGAAGGAATCTCACATTCCTTTGAGAAGGCACTTTCTGATTCTGGCTTCTAAGCAGATTTCTAGGAACAAGTTTGTATATAAGAGGGAATCATTACTATCAGCAGAGCTAAACTATATATAACACCCATTTCTGGAAGTAACTTTTTGCCTAACCTCTCTTCCTTCCCTCCTGTAAGGATCACAAACCTAAAATAGCTTTGGAAAATAATGCTATTTCGGGTGTGGGGAACGAATCGTACATTACTTTGAGAAGGCACTTTTTGTTCCAGGCCTGTAAGTAAATGTATAGGAAGAAGTTTGTATATGACTGGTAATCATTAATACAGTTGAGCTAAGCTATGCATAAAATCCCTCGCTGGAAATAACTGCATGCCCAATCTTTCTTCCTTCCAGCTCTAAAGGATTACATTCCTAAACAAGGTTTTGATCATATTGCTGTGTTGTGCCTTGAGAAGGAATCTCACATTCCTTTGAGAAAGCACTTTCTGATCCTGAATTCTAAGTAGATGTCTTGGAACAAGTTTGTATTTGACTGGTAAACATTACTACAGCTGAGCTAAACTATGAATAACACCCATTCCTGGAAATATCTTCATGGCCAATCTCTCTTTCTTCCAGGTCATAAGGACCACCTTCCTCAACCAGGTTAGGAACATATTGATGTTTTGGGCCTTGACAAGGAATCTCACATTCCTTTGAGAAGGAACTTTATGATGCCAGCCTGTATGTAGATGTCTAGGAACAAGTTTTTATATAGTGGCAATCAATATTAGAGGTGAGCTAAACAGTGTAAAACACCCATTCTTGGAAATAACTCCACACCCAACCTCTCTGCTTTCCACCTCATAAGGATCACAAATTTAAACCAGTTTTGGAACATATTGCCATTTCAGGCATTGAGAAGGAATCTCACAATTCTTTGAGAAGGCACTTTCTGATCCCAGTCTGTATGTAGATGTCTAGGAACAAGTTTGTATATAAGTGGCAATCATTACTACAGCTGAGTTACACTACGTATAATACCCATTCCTGGAAATAATTTTTGCCTTATCTCTCTTCCTTCCATCTCGTAAGGATCACAAACGTAAAGCAGGTTTGGAACATAAGGCCATTTCAGGCTTTGAGAAGGATACTCACATTCCTTTGAGAAGGCATTTTCTGCTCCCGGACTTTATGTAGATGTGTAGGAACAATTTTGTATATGAGTAGCAATAATTACTAAAGCTGAACTAAGCTACATATAACACCAATTCCTGGAAATAACTTGGTGCTCAATCACTTTCCCTTCCAGCTAGTAAGGACCACCTTCCTCAACCAGGTTTGGAACATACTGCCATTTCAGGCCTTGAAAAGGAATCTCACATTCCTTTCAGAAGGCACTTTCTGATCCTGGTTTCTAAATAGGTGTCTAGGAACAAGTTTGTATATGAGTGGCAATCATTACTACAGCTGAGCTGAAATATGTATAACACCAATTCCTGGAAAGAACTTCGTGCCCATTCTCTCTTCATTCCAGCTTGTAAGAATGACCTTCCTAAACCAGGTTTGGAACATAATGCCGTTTTGGGCATTGTGAAGGAATCTCACATTCCTTTGAGAAGGCACTTTCTGATCCTGGCTTCTAAGTACATGTCTAGGAAGAAGTTTTTATATCAGTGGCAATCACTGCTAAGGCTGAGATAACTATGAATAACAACCGTTCTTGGAAATAATTTTGTGTCAAATCACCTTTGTTCCAACTTGTAAGTATAAGAAACCTAAACTAGTTTTAGGACATATTACCATTTCGGCCTCGAGAAGGAATCACATATTCCTTTGAGAAGGGACTTTCTGATCCTGGCCTGTATGAAAATGTCAAGGAATAAGGTTGCTTATGAGTGGCAATCATTACTACAGCTGACCTAAACTATGTATAACACATAATCTTGGAAGAAACTTTTTGCCTTATCTCTTTCTTCCACCTCATAAGAATCAAAAACCTAAACAATGTTTGGAATATATTGCCATTTCAGGCCTTGAGAATGAATCTCATATTCCTTTGAGAAGGGACGTTCTGATCCTGGCTTCTAAGTAGATGTCTAGGAACAAGTCTGTATATGAGTGCCAATTATTACTAGAGCTGTGTTAAACTATGTAAAACACCCAAACTTGGAAATAACTTCAGGCCCATCTTCATCCTTCCACTTCTTAAAGATCACCTTCCTAAACCATGTTTAGAATATGTTGCCATTTTGGGCCTTGAGAAGGAATCTCATATTCCTTGGTGAAGGCACTTTTTGATCTTGGGTTCTAAGTAGATGTCTAAGAACAAGTTTGTATAGGAGTGGCAATCATTACTATAGCACAGCTAAACTATGTGTAACACCTATTCCTGGAAAAAACTTCAGGTCCAATCTCTCTTCCTTACAGCTGGTAAGGATCACAAACCTAAACCAGGTTTGGAACAATGTCATTTCGGGCCTTGAGAATGAATCTCACATTCCTTTGAGAAGGCACTTTCTTATCCTGACTAGTAAGTAAATGTCTAGGAAAATGTTTGTATATGAGTGGCAATCATTACTACAGCTGAGCTAAACTGTGTAAATACCCATTCTTGGTAATAAGTTCATGCCCTATCTCTCTTCCTTCTAGCTCGTAAGGATCACAAACCTAAACCACTTTTAGAACATATTGCCATTTTGGGCCTTGAGAAGGAAAGTCACATTCCTTTGAAAAAGCAGTTTCAAATTCGGGCTTCTAATTAGATGTCTGGGAAGAAGTTAATGTATGAGTTGCAATCATTTTTAATGCTAAGCTAAACTATGTATAACACCCATTCCTGGAAATAACTTTGTGCCTAATCTCTCTTCCTTCCATGTTGTAAGGACCACAAACTTAAATAGGGTTGGAATGTAATACCATTTCGGGTCTTGAGTATGAATCTCACATTCCTTTGAGAAGGCACTTTCTGATCCCGGCCTGTATGTAGATGTCTACGTATAAGTTTGTGTATGAGTGGGAATCATTAGTACAGCTGAACAAAACTATATAAAACACCCATTCCTGGAAATAACTTTGTGCCTTATTTCTCTTACTTCCATCTCGTAAGGACCACCTTCCTCAACCCGGTTTGAAACTTATTGCCATTTTGGGCCTTACAAGGAGTCTCACATTGCTTTGAGAAGGAAGTTTCGGATCCTTGCTTGTAAGAAGATGTCTGGGAACAAGTATGCATATAAGTGGCAATCATTACTACAGCTGAGCTAACCTAGGAATAACACCCATTCCTGGAAATAACTTCGTGCCCCATCTCTCTTACTTCCATCTCGTAAGGATCACTAACCTAAACCGGTTTGGAACATCATGCCATTTCGGACCCTGAGAAGGAATTTCACTTTCATTTGAGAAGGCACTTTCTGATCCAGAACTCTATGTAGATGTCCTCGAACAAGTTGGTGTATGAATGACAATCATCACTACAGCTGAGGTAAAGTATGTATAACACCCATTCTTGGAAATAACTTCATGCCCTTTCTCTATTCCTTCCAGCTCTAAAGGATTACCTTCCTAAACCAGGTTTTGAAAATATTGCCATTTCGAGCATTAGGAAGGAATCTCACATTCTTTTGAGAAGGCATTGATCCCGACATGTAAGAATATGTCTAGGAACGTTTGCATATGGGTGGCAATCATTACTACAGCTGAGCTAAACTATGACAAACACCAATTCCTGGAAATAACTTCGTATACAATCTCTCTTCCTACCAGCTCCCAAGAACCACCTTCCTCAACCAGGTGTGGAACATATTGCCCTTATGGGCCTTGAGATAGAATCTCACGTTCCTTTCAGAAGGCCCATTCTGATCCCAGTTTCTAAGTTGATGTCTAGGAACAAGTTTGTATTTGATTTGCATCCATTACTGAAGCTGAGTAAAAGTATGAATAGCACCCATTCCTGGAAATAACTTCCTGCCCAATCTCTCTTCCTTCCAGCTTGTAAGGCCCCCCTTCCTCAACCAGGTTTGGTTCATATTGCCCTTATGAGTCTTAAGATAGAATCTCACATTTCGTTGATAAGGCACTTTGTTATCCTGGCTTCTAAGTAGATGCTGAGAAACAAGTTTGCAGATGAGTGGCAATAATTACTAGAGCTGAGGTAAACTATGTATAACACCTACTTGTGGAAACAACCTTTTGCCCAATCTGTCTTTCTTCCAGCTCTAAAGGATTACATTCCTAAAACAGGTTTTGAACATATTGCCATTTTGAGATTTAGGAAGTAATCTCACATTACTTTGAGAAGGCACTCTCTGATCCCTGCTTCTAAGTAGATGTCTAGGAACAAGTTTGTATATAAGTGGCAATCATTACTACAGCTGAACTAATCTATGATTGACACCCATTCCAGGAAATAACCTCGTGCTCAATCTCTTTCCTTTCCATGTCTTAAGGATCACTAACCTAAACCAGGTTTGGAACATATTGCCATTTCGGGCCTTGAGAAGGAATCTCACATTCCTTTGAGAAGGATCTTTCCGATTCCAGCTACTAAGTAGATGTCTAGGAAGAAGTTTGTATGTGAGTGGCAATTATTACTACATCTGATCTAAACTATGCTTAACACCCATTCCTAGAAATAACCTTGTGCCCATTCTCTCTTTCTTCTAGCTTGTAAATG